CATACCGGCACCCTCACCAGCACACACACCCTCACCAGCACCTGCCACCCTCACCAGCACTGGCATCCTCGCCAGCACCGGCATCCTCACCAGCACCCGGCAACCTCACTAGCACCCGGCACCTTCACTGACACTGGCACCCTCACCCACACTGGCACCCTCACCAACACCTCACACGGTCCAGCTTCCCAGACTCTCCTCGTTGCTTTTACTTCTCCTCCCAGAGCCTTACAAAGTCCTGTCTGGCTCAGCCTGGGGTTTCAGCGCACAAAGGACCCCGGCGTGGTTTGCTTCCTGTGCGTTGGAGGCGGGGGTCCTCTCGGGCTGGCTGCCACCCTGGTGGTGTTACCCTTGGCTCCTGGTTCCCATCTCTCACTCTGGTCCACAGTGCCCTAGACCCGGCTCTGCCTCCACACGACCTACGTTCAATCTTAGGCCTTTATTCATTCATCCATTGTTTCATTTGACAGGTATTGCTCAGTCCTGCTAGGTGCAAACACAGGCTGCAGTACTGAGGACAGGATGTAAACAAGCTCAGACAACGTGCTCCCTGACCTTGTGGGGGGCACTGAAAGCTGCAAGTGGACACGGTGGGCAGACGTCACGCAGACAAGCACATGGTTATACATGGTGAGTGCTGGGAAGGACTAGTTCAGGGCTGTCAGCTGTGGACTCGCTGGGAGCCCCAGGGGGTGATGAGAACGTGGCCTGAGGGATGAGCAGAGAACAGGAGGAGAGTGCTCCTGACGCCCGCGCTCAGGCTGGAGCCCTGCTCTTGCTGCGCCTGGTCCCATCCAGGGAACCTCTGCTTTGTCCTCTCTAGAGACTCAGCTCCACCTCTGCAGGGATGAGAAAGGCACAGCCACGGGCTGCACAGAGCAAGGAGGGCCTGAGCTATCAGAAAGCTCCTTAACCGACTGTCACACGAGCCTGCTTATTTCAGCCGTGACCTTCATCTTTCTTCTATAGAAAGCGATGCTGCCAAATCTCGAACTTCTGCGCTTAGTCAGCTCGGGCTGCTACGACAAAATGCCACAGGCTGGGTGGCTTATAAACAACAGACATTTATTTCTCACAGTTCTGAGGCCGGAAGTCCAAGATCAAGGTGCCTATTTGAGTCTTGGAGAGGCCCTCTTCCTGGCTTGTAGAGGGCTGCTTTCTCACTGTGTCCTCACATGACACAGCGAGCTCTGGTCCCTTCCTCTGCTTCTGAGGGCACTAACACCATCACAGGGGACCCACCCTCACAACCTCATCTAACCCTAATTACTCCCAAAGATCCCACCTCCGAACACCTCACTGGAGCTTAGGGCTTCGACATATGAATTTTGAGGGGATGCAAACATTCAGTCCGTAACCTGGGCTATTCTGAGTAAGTCGCGTTGGTTCTTGTTCTTTCGTACCAATAGACCAAGAGACTCGGATTTGGTTTTTCGCATGTGCTAGGTGCCTTCAGCCTCACAAAATTTTATGTCTTTGCTTCCTCTCCCATTCTTCTCATCATTGTGGGTCGTGAATTTATGCCTTTAAAGAAGTGTCTACTGCGCTTTGGTAAGGCTTCAGGAAGGAGAGAAGCAGCTGTCCACTCCGCCACCTTCGCTAAAATGTCCGCACACTTTGTCCCAGATTTTCTTCTACGACGTCCACGTCTGTTGGTCTTGGTGTTTCCGTGGAGGGTGAAGCCCACTTGTCACACAAGTGCTTTGACACGCATGTCCATTCTGATCATGACTGAACTCCCCAACCCAAAATGCCTACCTCCTTCCCATGAGAGTCAAGGGACTGGGCGTCCTCTGTGTGGCCCCAGAAGGAAGGAGAGCAGGACATCTGAGCTACAACTGGCCTCTGACACAAGGGCCCCCAGTGGCTCCTGTGATGACAGCTGCTGCCTCCGCCCAGGTCCCCTTCACGCCCTTTGCACACAATGCCTCCTCCACGCAGGACTGGAGGTGCGTGCCCTGGTCCCGAGGAGAGGCTCTCTCTCCATTCTTCGCAAATCGTGGACAGGTGGGAAAATGATTGTGACCGTTGACCACTCTGTCCTGTCACTTCCAGACCAGCCTCCTCTCTGGTCCTGGACTCCTCTGTAAGGATCAGCTGGGCCTGGGGCTGGGTAGGTGTGATATTGTAATGTAATATTTGGGTTTTGTCCCAGGTTCCTGAAACAAGATCTTCTAAGACCCTTGGAATCTCCAAGTGATAAGAGGGTCTTTTTTGTGTGCTAATGAGGTGACTCTTGGTGGCCCCAGAGCTCCAGGATGGGGACTGGTGGCCAGAGGACCCTCACGTGATTAGAGGGCTGGAACTTTCATCCCCACGAGCTGACCTCCCTCCAGAGAGAACAGAGGCGAGATGGGCTGTGGACTGACTTCCTCACCAACGGCCAATGATTGCATCAGTCATCCTACATAATGGAACCCCATAAAACCCCTAAACGATGGGCTTGGAGAGCTTCTGGGTTGGTGAACGCATCCACACAAGGGGGGGTGTCCCACCCCAGCTCCACAGGGACGAAGCTCCTGTGCTTGGGACTCTTGTGGACCTCGCTCTGTGTACTTCTTCAGCTGTTCATGCGTAACCTTTGTGATAACCTGGTAAACTAAGTATTTCCGTGGGGTCAGTGAGCTATTCTAGCAAATTACTGAACTGAGGCTCCCTTTCACAGACCAGGGGCAGAAAGCACCAGTAATTTGAATGAGAGGACAGTCAGGACGCAGCCTCTGGTCTGTCTAACGTGAGAGCTTTTCATCAGGAGGCAGCGTCGAGCCGGCTGCTAGGGTTTCTTCACAGGAGACTGAGATCCCAAAGGACTGCCATTCCTGAAAGAGGCTTTATTCAAGTGAAATAATCTGATTTTAGTTCTGCGAAGATGAGGCAGTGTTTTATAACAGGAAGAAAAGACAAGTAGTGAAGATGACTTGTCATGCTGTCTCCAAGAAGAACACGTTGATGGGACAATCGGCACCAACTCCTGAGCTGAGTGGAATCACTCTGAGCTACCAGGAAGCTACAGCAGGTGGATGGAGCACTCTGTGTTAGAAATCGGCTGATGACACCCTCGTCTCTGCTGCTACTCACCAGCCCACATGTTGGAAACGCAGCCTGAGGCTCTGGGGAGGCACCTTCCTCATCAGTCGGCTGACTGTTCAAAGCCCTTTCATGCGGCGGAGTCCGGGCCAGCACCATCCCGTGCCAGGCACAGAAGCGCCATGAGCCCCTGGCCCCACGAGCCCCTGGCCCCACCTGGGGGCTCGGTCACATGGCTGTGGGGATTAACTACAACACAGCCATGGACGTGTTTTAACTGACCGCAGGGCGGTTCCTGGAGAGCAGGGAGGAAGGATAGAGCCTACGATTGCCCCTAGGGCTGAGCTCAGAGGCAGCTACCCAGCAGAGGGTCAGGGAGAGATGTCCAGGCGGACAGGGCGTGGTTTCTACAGCCCTGCGGGAGAGAGGGAGGAGGGAAAAGAGTGGTTCTGGTAACAAAGTGAGAGAAAGTTTCGGGAGGGTCTGGGCTGCCAGCAGGCAGGCCGGTGCTGGAGCGGGGTAGTGCTGGAGCAGTGGTGCCAGAGCAGGGAGGAGCCCTGGGCTCCCGGTGCGCCTCCCGCTTCTCTCCAGCCCGGCCTCTGCTGCGCCCGCCCCAGCACCTGCTGGTCCTCCTACGGCGGTGTAGACCGCACCTGCGTGCTGACCAAGGGCAGCTGTAGTCTGAACCCGCGGCCCGTGCAGTGCTGGCCGGGTTCTGGCCTCAGGCGGCCATCAGCGAGCAAGCCGTGACCTGGAGTGAGGACCAACCGTTGGCGTTTACCCGGCGAGGTGGGCCCCATGCACAGTGCTCAGGACGCCGGGAGGAGCTGCTCTGGGTCAGCTCTTATAAACAGACCACCCCAAGGCTATACGCCAAATTAGGGTGATTTCGGCGTGGCATTCCTGAAGCAAACCCTTCACCTACCAATTCTTTGTTTTGAACATGTTCTTAGAAAAAGCTGAAATAACAGAACGTGTGTGCCCTCCACCCAGATTCACACAGGGCTGGCCTTTCCCATCTTTGCGTATCTTTCTGTGTGTGTAGACAGAACACTTCTTCCTGAATCCTTAGAAACACTGCAGACATCCTGAAGCTCCCTGCAGAAATCTCGTTGTGCGTCCCCCCGAGAGCAGGGACCCCCGCGTGTCCTCAGGGAAGTGCTCACACTCGTGGTCAAGGGGAGGCGGCCACCCTTCTCACTGGAAATGCTTCTTTCCCCACTGGTCCTCAGTGAGAGATGGGTGGGTAGCCTGGGAGGCCAGGTGACCCCCCTCTTTCTCCCAACATCTCACTCAGGGGGTTTAGCATCATGGGGGCCGGGGATTCCTTGTCTGAATCAGTTATTCCACTGGAAATTGTAATATACTTTTCTGTTATTTCTTTGACATTTATTTGCTCCCATTTTTTTTGTCTTAACTACCTTTATCGATCTTCTGTATTTATCCACATGTATCAGCTCATTAAAATCTTTGTTCCAATGTTCTTGCATTAATCCCCTAAAAATTCCACACGGGCAGAAGTATTTTTACATTATATACTTAATGTTTACAAATTTGAAATCTGATCCGCGCAAGTCTATGGCTTTACCACTTTTCAAGACAAAAGTCACGTATAAAAATACAGACGACTTGAAACATAACAGTCCACAGTTGTCGAGAACGTGCTTTACAATACAGAGCTGTCAGACAAGCTCCACCTCTGTAAGTACGAAAATGAAATAAAAACCAGCTCTTTCTGTCCCTACAGCTCTCCTCGCTCTCCTGCCTCCCCTCCTCCAGTGTCACCCCGCACTACGATTCTTTCTTCTGTTTAATATGTCATCATCCATTAGTATCACTGTTTTCTTTGACGCTTAAATTATTCCAAATTTGGCCAGTGGGAGACTCTTTAAGCTGGCTCCTTGCTCATTTTGATAAGTCTTTCTAAAGTTTGAGCACCTACTTGCTTCCTGAACAAGATATTCCAGACTCACCTCGCGCTTTCCCTGCTCCACGCCTGGAATCAGCCGTTTCTCCAAGGAGTCTGGTTAGTTTAGTGCAGAAGGGTCTGAGCATCAGTCCTTATGCTTCTGGTCCCAGGATCCCCTTATGCTCTGAGACATCATCGAGGAGCATGTAGCTTGGTCTGTGTGTATGTGCCTATCAGTATTTACGATGCTGGAAATTAAAACAGAAATTTAAACATACGTCTTCATTCATTTAAAAAGAACAACAATAAACCCCCCACATGTTAACACAAATAATGCATTTTAATGTAGAATAAGTATAATTTTCAAAAACAAACTCTTTAGCAAATTTACTATAGAATGGGAAAAGAGAGTGTGTCAGTGTCTTTCCAGATGCTACAGGTATTTACACAACGGCAAAACTCAGCAAGTTGTAGTTTCTTAAAGGTTGGTTGCAACATGGAATATGAACCATATCAGTAATGGTGATTAAATTTGTTTTTCAAAATTTAAGCTTTCTAGTGAAAATTTGAATTTTATCACTAGCAACAAATATTGTCAGTAGGCATTATACAGACATAGTCCATTATGTACAATGTATGCATTATATATACATAAAATGCATACATGTGTGTATATATGTGTGTGTATATGTGTGTATATATTTTTTTAATTGTTGGAGTCGTAAATTCAGGATGAACTCCTGGAGGCAGGTCTGAGAAGCAGATTGCAGGGCTGAGTAAACACAGGGCAGAGTTGTTCCCTGGGTCCTAAATTACCTTCCGGGTGGTGTGCCGAGTCCCCGTCTGGCCACAGGAGCACCCGTTTCCTTGTTGGCAAAGCTGTCAGTTTTCAAACTTCTGAAGCCCTTCCCCATCTGATCTGCAAGGACAGTCAGAGCAAACTTTCCTTCTGTGCATGTTTCCTCCCCGGGTCAGACAGTCAAAGACTCACGACTGTTTTCATTTTCATCTGCATTGAAGACACCTGTGTGACCCTCCACTGCAAAACTGCCCACTTGGGTTAAAAGCAGGATTAAGGGTTTGAGAACAACAACAAGCCATTCACAGAGCACCTGCGCCCCTCACCCGCTCTGGCCCTCCGCCCAGAGGTCTCCATCGACCCCGATGTGCGGACGTTGTACAAAGACTTGCTTTCAAGTGAACACATTTTGGTCAAGAGTCAGGTGTTTCTGTGTTATTTTCATACCTCACACGAGTCTCCTTCTTTCACTGTTTTTCTCTCTCCATTGATGAAAATGTCACAAGGAAATAAAACTGTAAACACGTTAAGTCCTATGAAGAGGGTTTCTGCACTTGGATTAATTGGTCCATCTGACAACCCTCCAGGGAAGGAAGACGTGAGAACGGAAGCCAAGGCCAGGCTCAGCCACGCCCCCGCCACATTCTGGGAGCCCACGTCTCCAGCGGGCTGAGCACACAGCCAGAGCCCAATGGATGCAGCCCGTCTTGCTGGGTAGAGTCTGCAAGTGCGTACCGAAGGTGCATGTCTGCAAGGTTCACACACAAGCTACGGGAGGATCTCCGCTGTCTGGTGCAGTGACGACCACAGCGAGGTGGGAAGGCACAGGTTCGGGGCCACTCACAGAAGCTCCACTGTGGGAGCTGCGTGTGCACAGTGCAACCGTGTGTCGCACAAGCCAGAGCATCCCGCTGCAGGTTCCGCTGCCTTGGGGCGCCGTCCATGCGCATCCCTGTGCCTCTCTCTGCTGCTCCTGTGACATCACAGCCGCCGCGGCTTCGAGCAGCCAGAGGGAGCTCTGCCGGCCAGTCTGCTCTTTGTTCCCAAGAGCACCATCGTCCTTGAGTGAATGGCCTTTTCAAAGTCTTCTGCCGGCACTGATCCTGAGGGAGCCCCGTAGCTGGGGGTGGGTGGCAGAGGTTGTGGACCGCTCCCCACCCCCGGTGCCCCCGCCCCCTGTCCTGATTCCCCAGGTGCGTCTGCCTGTTTCCGTTCATGACATGGCCCTCTGTGCATTCTCCTCTCTCTTCTTTTAGGATTCTCTGCCTGAGAACTCTGTGCCTAGGACCCCCAGCATCTGCCCTCAGCTCGGACATCAACAGTGCTCCTCCTGCACCACCTCCTGGATGAGCAGGAAGGGCCCTCCCCACATCTTGGGCAACTGCTTCCTCACGGTCCCCACTCAGTCCTCGCCCAGCTCCCGCTGCTCCCCCCGGACCCCTGCGGCTTTGGCTCAGAATGCCTGCCCCAGTCTCCATACTGCTGGGCTCCAGGCAGCCACGGGCACTGGCTGCGATGGAACACATCGCAGGCAGACTGACTCCTCATCCACTGCTTGTCACAGGGTCCTCTGGGACATGGTTCTGGGAGGTCCCGGCCTCGCCCAGGACGCGTGCCAGCTACTCTCCCTCCTCATTCATGCCCCAGGTAACTGGGCGAGGGAGCGACCCTCATTCTGTAAGAGGGCAGGGCTCGCTTACTTCAAAGACCAGAAATGCAGTTGCCAACAGGGGAAACCGAGGCTGACCTCATCCCGACCTCTCAGCAGGTAAGTAGCTGTGCAACGGTTCTGTCCAGAGGATGGTGGGAGTGGGCTTCCTGGGCGTCAAGCGTGAGCCCCAGGAAGGGCAGAGACTCCAGGGTGGCGGCTGAGTGTGAGAAGAGGCACCAGAGCCCCTTCTACACTCACCCCCTTGGCCCCAGACTCCTTCCATCCTCGTCCCTGGGCACGGCGGTCTCCTGCTCTCTTCCTCTTCTGATTGTCGCTCCTCCTGTATGGACGGAACTGTGCACCCAGCTCTCAGAAGCTGGAGCCCTGACCCCACCGGGACTGGACTGAGGATGGGTCTCCAGGGAGGAGGTTACGTCAAATGAGGTCACAGAGCTGGAGTCCCTGGAGGGGAGAGACGACAGAGCCCCCAGGGTGAGTGCGTGAGGATGCAGGAAGCCAGGAGGAGCACCCCCAGCAGACATCAGCCCTGCTGGGACCTCACCCCGGACCTGTAGCCGCCAGGATGGCGAGGATGCAGCACCCGGCTCAGCTGCCGTCTGTGTACGTGATGTGGCAGCGAGGGGCAGCGCCCGGTTCTCTGTGGGCTCGTCCTTCCTCTGCCTGCTCCTAACTGCTGGGCTCCCCTCATGGCTCCTCTCGTCTCTGCGCTCCCACCCGACGGGCCACCTCATGGGCTCAAGTCCCGGGAGCACAGACAGCATGTGCTCTTCTGCTCGCATGGAAGGAGGTTCAGAAGAATAATTAAAACACAGTCAACTTTACTAATGAGCACGTGCCGGAAGTTCTCATTTTTCTTTCATCAGTTTGCCAAGGCATTATTTAGCCAACAAAGCCATGAAAACCATCTTGTCCGTAACAAGAGCTGAAGGGGCGTTTATTCTGTAAGCAGGCTTCCACTGTGGTCCTCGAGGTTCACTCGGAGGGTCTCCAGGCCGGCAGACGACCTGCAGAGGGAACGACATTCACAGATTGTCCTCTCTGGCATTTTTGGAGGGTTTTTCACGTGCTTCCCGGGGGGCCTTGCGGGGCCGGCAGACTCAGCTGGGCCACAGCGGCTGCGGCCCGTCCTGCAGAAGTGTGCTCTGCCCTGAGTCCTCAGACTCCCTCCCTTGGGCTCACCCTCAGTGTGGCACTGACACTCCACAGGCCGGGCGATGGCCACCATCACATTGTGCCCGAAAACCGGCTTTCCCTTAGGCTGCTGAGCAGTCGCCCACCCTCACGTTGCGCGGGGTGCCGGGAGGCCACGAGCCCTCGACGGAGCGTGAGCTCCAGGCAGCGCCCCTCACGGGGGTCTGTGCCACCTGCTGCGTGACAGCCACAGTCGTCTGTCCTGAGGGACTGGGAATGCCGCCGACCCACTGACCCGCCTCTCCCCTCGCCACCCGACGGTTGGCTGGGGACTCAGGCAACATGAGTGTGGCTGCTGCTGGGGGCGGGATTTCCTGAAAAGGTGCACAGTTCTGGGTACAACAGGGAGCAGCGTTGTGACCCCGTGAACACGCAAGCTGGATGTTCGTGAATCACGTGGTGAGTGCTGTGCTGTGTAGACATGACCTCGTGTCCACGTGTGGATGGAGCTGATGCTCAGCTCCAATCGCTGTGAGCAGGTTCCCACCTGCTGCCCGAGGGTGAACATCGAAGGGTGGGAGGCATCTGGGGAAAGCCTGCCACAGAGCACTGACCGCACGTCGTGAGGCGGCTGGTGTCCTTGTGCCCGTTCCAGTCCAGCCACCGTGATGTCCCCTAGCTCACAGAGCCCCCGGGGCGGTTCAGCCCTCACCTCAGGGAACTACTGCAAGGACCCTCTAGGAACTAATATTTCTTTGGGTGAAGGAATATTTTCACAAGGTTTAGCACCTCCCTTAAGATCATTTCAGTTTCTTTTCCTTGAACAAGTAACTTTTTGCTTGTTGACTTCAAGTAAAACAAACTGTGATCCCCTTTAATTTTAATAAACATCTTTGATTCTTTTGTTACAAAGTTCTTCCCAACAATGGCGTGGTGGTCACCCACTCAGGATCCGCTCTAAGTTCCTGCCATGTTTCTCAGTGGTGGGATCTGAGGGGAAATATTTTACTTTCTTATTTGTACTTTTCCTATTGCTTTGATTTTTAATAGTATGAAAATACTTGTTGTTTTTTTTTAAAGATTTTCTTTTTCCTTTTTCTCCCAAAGCACCCCTGGTACATAGTTGTGTATTTTTAGTTGTGGGTCCTTCTAGTTGTGGCATGTGGGATGCCGTCTCAGCGTGGCCTGATGAGCAGTGCCATGTCAGCGCCCAGGATTTGAACGGGTGAAACCCTGGGCTGCGACAGCAGAGCGCGTGAACTTAACCACTCGGCCACGGGGCCGGCCCCTGAAAATATTTCCTAAGGTATACTTTTTTCTTCTTCTTCTTCTTTTTTCTGGTGAGGAAGATTGGCTCTGAGCTAACATCTGTTGCCAATCTTCTTTTTTCTCTCCCCAAAACCCCTGCACATAGTTGTATATCTTAGTTGTAGGTCCTTCTAGTTCTTCTCGTGGGACGCCGCCTCAGCATGGCTTGATGAGCAGTGCATAGGTCCATGCCTGGGATCTGAACTGGTGAACTCTAGGCCGCCGAAGTGGAGTGTGTGAACTTAACCACTCAGCCATGGGGCCAGCCCCACGAAAATAATATTTCTTAAAAACAATAAACAAGACCCTCTGAGCCTCTGGGGAGCCCGGCCTGAAGCCCCCGTGCAGCCATGGGTCCCAGCTCTGTGCAGCCTGGTGGCAGGTGCTGGGCCATGGCCTCTGGCTGCCGTGTGCACCGTAGTCCTGCAAACCTGTGGGGACTCAGGCCTCGCCCAGTGTTCTCAGTGCCGGCTTTTGCGCTGCCAGCCTCTCCTGGTGCTGGGCGCTGTGCCCTGGTCTCCACGGCTCAGCTTCTGTTCTGGCAGCTTCGCCCGGGCTTGCTCTTCTCACTGGCGGGGCTCTCAGCGGAAAGTCCCTCAGAATCCCTCTGCACCGCAGCCCCCAGCCATGCCACCAAGTGGCAGCAAAGCCAGCTGTGTTGGGGACAATTCACTGATGCTCCTTCACTCACGTTGTCAGCGACTCCTCCAGCCTGCAGGTGACCATTCCACTCTGGTTAGTCCTCTGAGGGTGTGGCCACAACTTGGCACCGTGAGACACACAGCAACAGGCCGACCCCCAAGTATGAACCGGGCTGTCACCTCCTCAGGAGGAGGCCACACTTTCATCCCCGTAGCCAGCACCCCACACGGTCCAAGGGACGCTGATTCAAAATGATAGATGCATCTGCTACGTGGGGACACACTCACGGGGCAATCAGCATCCACAAGGCCCCTAAGGACTCTCACAACATCCTGAAAACTTCCTGTGCGGCACTTACCAGAATTACAATACTCAGACGGACGGTTGTTCCCAGGTCTGTCTGTCCCGCCAGCTGTGAGTGTGTCTTTGATGCTATTTGTATCTTCCGTGTCCAGACCGGGGAACCTGGAAAACAGCTCGTGAGTGGGGGTCTTGGGTCTCGGTGCCCCCGTGGAAAGTTCAGATGGTGCCGGCCTTGCCCAGCCACTGAAAAAGGTGACAGCGTCTGAGACGAGCACGTCCCTTGGGGTCGGAGCCCTCCAGACAGGCGCTGTGTGCCCTCTGCCCAGTCCTCGTGGTGTCGTCACCAGGCAGCTGACACTGCGGGTCTGAGTCTACGCCACGGATATCGGCTGTTGCCAGAAGCAGGAGAAAACCGCCAGTGAGTCTGACGTGTGCCTCTGTGAGCCGGGATGGTGGCAGGGTTGGCATCGGCGGCGGGGACTCTGACACGTCATTGCTCGTGGGCGACAGTGACTCGGTACAGATCAAACAGACATTTCTCCACCCACGAAGTGGGCACGGTGACAGGTGCTGACACCTGGACGGAAGTTTGTGAGAACAGGAAGACACCACGTGCGAGGAGTTCACCCTGCGCCTGCACATGGCGGGAATGGCACTCAGGGAACATCAGCTCCCCTCATCCTCTTCGTCTCCATCGTGAAAACGAGTGCAAATTGGACAAGGTCTCAGTTTGCAGCAGGAGCCTCGAGAGATGAGAAGGTGGGTTTCACGGCAGAGCACGTGAGGACGAGGACGGGGTGCCCCGTGGTCCGCAGACACGGCGTGATTCTGCTCTGTGACAGTTGCCTGGACGGCTGGCTCCTGGCAGCTGCCATTGTTGCAGTCTGCGTTCACGCTGGAATGTTCTAATCCCCTAAGGAAACCTTTGTTATTTTAGGACGGGCACATTTCCAGCAGGGCTGGTGGTGGTAAAGCGTGAAGGGGAGATCTTCCTGGGGCTGATCTCCAGGGGAGGAGCCTCGGGCTTCCCTGGCCTTCCTGAGATGCCTGGGAACAGACGTGACACACAGAAACAGCGAGTGGGTTCAAGAAGAGCCACCACTTTCACAGCAGCTGCACGTGCAGTCCTGGTGCTGCTTCAGGATCCCCCCCGAGGACACAGGCAGGCTGCGAGAGAGAGAAGCTTCTGGCAGGCTCTCCCTCGGGAAAGGAGGTGAGCGGAGCCAGGCCCTGATGACGACCGGCAGGCAGCCTGGGGAGAAGCCAGGCCTGTCGAGTGACGACCACAGATGCCTGGCCCCAGAGATCTTCTGCCTCCAGAACACGACAGCAGCAGCAACTGACCAGGCGCGGACTGTGCCGACACCCACCTGGGCCGCTGGGGAAGCCCATGGCAGACACCTTGCTCCTCCCAGTTCCAACCTCAAAGGGTTCCCAAGACCCAGATGCCCCACACCCACCCCCTGTGCTGACGCCATCCTGGGCGAGGCCCGCCTGGCCTGTGTGAGCACACGTGTCACTCATGGGCATGAGCAGACCGCCCGTGTGTTCAGGCAGGGCGCTATAGGTTTGATCAGAGCAGGGCTCAAACTCTGCTTAGGAGCACTGAAAAATATGTACTGACGTCCATGTGCACACACGTGCACAGACAACCAAGTGTGCTCTGATACACAGGTGTGCATGTATGTAGACACCTGTGTGTGCTATGGTACGTGTGTGTATACAGACATCTACGTGTTCTATAATATATGTGCATATACACAGGCAGACATGGGCCCTAACATAGGTGTGTGTGTATATACAGATATGTGTACTATAATTCACACTGTACTGTATCACACATATAATTTAGACATATGAGTACTATAATGCACATACAGTGACACGTATTTACTTTAGTACAACATATTGGACACATGTGTACTATCATGCATGAATGCACTATCCATCAACATGTACGTGTACTACAATGCATATATCCACACACAGACACCTATGTGTACTATAACAAACAGATATATGTTCTGTACAATCTGAGAAATCCTGAAGAGCATCCGACCGCCAGCATGGGGAGTGTGTCGCCCTGGATCTGGCAGAATGATGAGGACAACTGAGCACAGCCCATTTCAGCTGCTGAAGTGTGGTGGGTGGGCTGGGGCCCATGCGGGCCAGGCTGGAGCAGCCCCTTGAGCAGCTGGCCCTGGGCAGTGCCCACAGAGGGCCGTGCGCCTGACTCCATTCGCCCTCCCTCTGGTCTTCTATTGTGTCCGCCCTGCCTGACCCTCGGAGGCCAGGGGACGTGGGACCCCATTGTGTGACATGCGGGCCACCTGATCGGAAGAGTGGGGTGGAGATGGATGGCAGGGTGCATCGGTGGGAAGTGTGGACCTGCCCACCTCGCAGACCAGTGTTGGTGAGGCTGTGATGTGAGGCTGAGTGGCTGGCCCCAGAGCAGCGTGATGACCACATGCAGAGAGCCGCTGCCGAGAGCAGTGAGCAGTGCGTTCTTTTTAAAGGAAGCTGAGCCGAGCCTGCGCTGTACGTTGTCTGCAGGGTGACCTGAAGCATGCTCACATCAGACACGGCACTGCCCCGCTGAGACGAGGAGCCTGCACTGTGT